AAACCCTAAACCCTAAACCCTAAACCCTAAACCCTAAACCCTAAACCCTAATCTAGAAATATTTTTTTTAAGAAAATATTTCTAGAACAATTTATGCCTTATATTAAATAATAAGAAAAATCGGTTATATTAAAGATATTTAAATTAGAAATTTCATTTCATCCTTTAAGAGAAGAATTCCTAATCATATTTCTATTTAAAAAGAAAAAATCCATTCCTCTTCTAATACCATTGTATATTATTCCCGATTCTCAAGTAAAGAATATCTCCTTAAATTTTTATATCTTGTAGAATATATTCCATTCCTATCTTTTCATCCATATGAAAAAAAAGGAATTTCGAATATCCTCTATTATTATTTGAGAATCCAATATTATCTCCAAATTCTATCATATACAAATCGCCTTCCTCTTTCCCTATGATCATATTTTTGCTTCAGTTGGTGGGGATGGTTGGTGCCGGAGAAAAATCAAATTTCCTGAAACTTCTATGACCCCACACGTATCTTACTGGAACAGCATCTTTTCTCCCGAGCAGGTCCCGTCTCATGTGCAATCCAACGGCTGCTAGGCAGCGTCCTTCTCCGTGTACTTGCCCTTCTTGACGTTGCGGTTCTTGCGGTCGAGCAATGCTTTTCTATCCTTGTCCAGCTTCAGCTTCGTAATCATCACCTTGGACGGGTGGATTGGAATGGGCACGCTCTGCCCATTGGCCTTGTCCCTGGTGACACGCTCCACATGAATGCGGAACTTCTTTCGGTACACCTGCGTGACCTTTCCCTCGCGGTCATGGTAGTGACCTCGCACGATCATCACCTCATCGTCTCGGCGAATGGGCACCGCTCGCACAGCATACTTGGCTCGCAAGTCCTTGCTCAGAGGAGCAGACATCAGCTTGCGACGGATGTGCGAGGGCGCTGTGAAGTGCGCCTTGCGATTCTTCCGCCGGGAGCATGTAACTGTGGCCTTCTGCTTCATGGCGAAGCTGCGCCCTATTGGCGCAGTGTCTATGAATGGCGCTTGCAGTTTGACCCGCTAGCAGCAAGCCGTCTCGTGCACCCAGCAAGCCCTGTGTGGCTACTGTCCGCAACACATGCAGGAACGATCAGGAACGTCTGCTCACCTTTTACGGCTGGCGAGTGCTCTTGAGGTCACTCGAATTCCAAAGGCATTTCAAGTAACATGTTCTACATGTCTCGCACTTTCGTATGTCTTGCTCTACGGCTGCGCTTTGGTTATGCTTGTGCGCATTCGTGAGAATGTCAAAAGAAATGGACGGTCACTGAAGCATTGGAAAATACGTACTACATTTGTGAGGGTGAGACTGGACCGTTTTCAGAGCAAACTTGCAAGTGAAATACGGTAAAGCTGTCGATGGCAGCTTGGGTCCACTGGACCACTTCAACTATCCAGCCATTTTAGCCGCTGCCCTTCGCTCCACAGGCCCTTTCGTTGCCTAGCAGGTGCAATGCTAACTGCAGTGGCATAGTTCGGCCACCACCGTGACATGCCGTGTGCAGCCATCCGCCGGGCCTCAGACCTCTGGCGCCCCGAGCGATCATCTGTACCCTACGCATCCCTCCCCGTTCCATTGTTTGAGCCTCGGGGACCCCAAAGGCTGACCATTTCCCCATTGGGTTCTCCTCTGCCTGGAACTTCCAGGGCCGCTCTGGGCCCCATGGCTGACCTCGAGGAGCTGTACTAGGAACTCATCGGAGGACAGACCTCTGGCCCCACCCCCTTTCCTGGTACGGCATCTAGATCATCTAGGTGCCTCGGAATCTGGTAAGACGCCCCGAACGATGAGCGAACGATGGGCTTTCGATGGGCTTTCCGTAGGCTGCGTCTAGGCTTAGAATTCTGCAAGGTCTAAGAATTCAACATCTAGGCCGCACGGGCATTCAACACAGCAGCGCTCAATGAAGGCAACTGGTCCCCCGTAAGGCCTGCCCTTGGTGTCGATAAACACGCCAACACCGTGCTGTCGGCCCATCTCCCATTGTCCACAGTAGGATCTGCAAAAATCTTCAGATTGCACCCTTCTGCAAACTCACACGACTACCAGGTGACTGTCAGGCCTTCCATCGGGCCATGTGAAGGTGCCCTCTCCCGACTTGCGGTCCTGCGTGTGAAGCTGAGTGTGCCCACTTTACCGAAATTTTGCAGACGGTGCCTCTAGGAAGCCACCAGTATAAGAGCGGCCGTCTGGCCAAGTCATGGTGCCATCGCCGTGCATCTGCCAGCAATGCACTTGTGGGGGGGGGGGGGGGGGGGGGGGGGGGGTGAGGATGCAAGAACCACAGTAACCACAGCATGTTTTTCGGAGCGAGAGCCTGACTCGCATGCCAAGCGCCCGTGAACACTCTGCCATCCGCGAATCTGTAGATGCCCTGACCTCTACATCAAGGTTGTTTTGTAATCTAGTGCAAGACATGCCCTGGAGGATCGGTGAGAAAAAGCCCTTTGTGAAACGGAGCCTTCCATCGCATCTTGCGCAAATTGCCCCGAGTAGCTGGAGCTGTCGGCAGACAGAAAGAAGCCGGATCCTCAGGAGATCCGTCTGTAGCGGGCGTGCAAAGGTCGCCTAGAAATCTGAGTTCTCCACCGTGCTTCATCCCACTCTTGTACTCACCCTTGAAGTGAGACCTGCCAAATCTGCGGCTCTCCTATGTAGTCCGGAAAACTTTGCGAAGCACGGTTGCAAGACCCGTCCGCCCAGATTTCAATTCCTCGGCCGGACTTGGTATCCTTGGCGATGCGACGCAGCTACGAGTACGGGTGTATATACGCTCGGAAAGCTCACCTCAAGGACCTGAGGATACTTCAAAGAAGCCCAAAGCTCAGAGTCCGTCCATCTCCCAGTCGCCTTCATAGGAGGACCCGTCCGAATGGCTAAACTTGCCATGTCCGTGGGCCTCACACTCACAAGAGCTCAAAAGGGAACGACAGAGTGATCCCTGCATAGGCGCACAGCCTTGTCCTCGAACCACTCTCCGCTATAGGTATCGCCATTGGCATGACGAAACCTTTCAACATCCTATCAACGGTCAGTCGTGCTTAACATTGTGATGTCTCATGGTTTTTAGGGCTATTGTGGAAACGGCCAATGCAGCGGAGCGGCCTGAAGAGAAGAAAGTACGAAAACTTTGCTGCAGGAGAAAGACTTGCATTCCACTATTGCCGCTGATTTCCTGTGCTTACGTCAGGATTGTGCACCCGTTTGCCGATGAGACTGCATCCTTTATTCAGCTTCGGCGTAGCACTTTCGATTGTTTGTCGTGTCGGATTTCCAAGGCTGCCAGTTTTGTGTAACCTTCGCTCTGCCGTTTTGGGCTCAACTGAAGCAGGAAACTTCCACACGGCAGTGTGCAAGAGCTGTGCCTGCCAACGCCATGAGCTTTGTCATGGCGGAACTGGCCGTCGTATCGCCCTCCGTCCGGCCTGCTCCGGGAGCTTTGGAAGCCAGAAACAGCCCAAACAATGCCACCATGCCTTGTCAGAGTGCCCTGGCCATGCCGCTGCTCCTTGTCAATGGACGAAGGCAATAGGCAACGCCACACAGAAACGAACGAAGTTGCTGCCAAGACTCTCCGAGCCACTGCCCCGCATAGATGGCATCACCCTGAAGCTGGACCTGCCCATGCGGTGCCATCTCACTGATCACACTGCAATGACAAGGAGAAGCAGCGCTGCCCTGAACTCTCTGGACAAGTTCGCACGCGTTTCCCCAACGCATCCTACGCATCCGGCGACTCAAAAAAGTCACAGCCGTGCACCCGCAGCATTGGTGGAGCACGATCTGCGTGATGCTGAGTGGAGTCCTCCTAGATGTCCTTCATGGAAACGGCGCAGCAGAACACGACTTCTCAAAGGCGAAGCGGCACGAAGCCCAACTCTTCAGAGACCGTCGAGGTTTGCCAATGCCAGACCAAGCTTTTGGCTACCAGTCTCTTCCCGGAATTCCCGAACCATCTTCGGAGAGGCGGCTTTGGCTGGTTTGGCAGAGCTTCGGAACAGCGCCAGCGCCGATCGAATGCGGACGATGCTGCTGGCAAGCTCTTCTGGGGTGCGGCTGAAGGCCTTTGGCATGCATGATTGAGGCTTTTGAGGGATGTGAGGATGTCCGAGGACTCACCTAGGCTTTGGATGGGCAATGTTTAGAGGCTGCTTATGTCTTCCAAGAGCTTTAATTCCTAGGGGCCGGTATGGACTAGTTCGACATGGTTCAGCCAAGTGGTCATTGCTAATGAACTCTGAATACTGGGCATGGCCTCGGAAGAGCTGTTGTACAGTGTCCAGTTGAGCGTGGCCTCTGCAAACTCAGGCATGTGCAGGCGATAGAAGTTATCCAGGATCTCGTCCATCCTGATCATCCACATCTGCTCGTAGCAAAGCACGGTAGAGCCGCCCAAGGAGGCCTGCAGGGCCCTGGCCAGGAAGGTGCGGGAAAGCTGCGGATCGATGCCCGAGGCCGCGCTTGCACAAAGCAGGCTGCTGGAAACGACCGCCGTGGCGCACTCTAAGTCGCCGGCCTCGATGAAAGGTCGGAACTGATCGCATGCCGGACCCAGATGCTCTTTGGGAACTTTCGGCAGGGAAAAGATCAAGCCTGTGATGAGCTTCTGAGCCGTCTGGAACTGCTCAGGGCACATGCAGGGCATCATCCGTGCTCGAAGCAGCCAGTCCAGCTGCAGGCGCTCCTCTGGTCGCTCCCATCGGAAAGACTCCGAAGTCTCTGAGCAACCTCTAACCCTGCAGGCTTCGAAGCGCGGCCAACCAATCAACAACCGTTCTCGGTACATCTCTGGACCTGGAGCAAACAAACCATACTTCGAGCCAGCAAAGGGGGACCGTGCTCGCTCATCGGAGCATTCCCGCGATTGCTTACCAACTGTGCACTGTAGTTCGCGTTCCCGGTAGAATCGTAGCACCTGTGTGCCGCAAACGACATCCAACTGGGAAGAGGTCAGCACTGTGCTTGGGCATGCGGCCTGCATGAATTGCCGAATTCCTCGGCGCAGCGTCAGTGGACCCATCCATTCGTTGTGACACTCGTTGCCGTCCAGAGTCGCGTCATAGATTCGAGGGACTTGCCCACGATACCACTTCCGCAGCTCCACAAGCGCTGCATAAAGGATTGAGCTGAAAGGCTCGCTGGCCATTATGGCATTGAGCATGGCACCGTCGGCCGTGTACGCGGACATGAACGTCGTCGAGAGCCCGACAAGTGAGGTCAACGGAACCAATAATTCGAAATCTAGGTCTACATAGAACCCACCCTCGCGGTACAGTACTGCTGTTCGGCAAAGATCTCCTCTGAAGGAACCGCGGTATTCACGACGAAACATTCCAGCAAGCTCTGCATCGAAATGCCTCGTGATGTATGAGTGGCAATCTGCATCGCTGAACCATCTTACTTGGAACCCGGGATTGGCGGACATAGTGCGCTCAGCATTTCGCCGCAACTCAACAGGCAGGTCAAGCAAACTGCCTGGGCCAGTCAGGACAAGTTGGGAGGGAATAACGATATTGTGCATGCACTGCTCCAGATGCCAGCGACGTCTCCAGCGGCCCAAAGATCATGCCCATTGCAGCAGGGCAGGTGCTACCACAATCACGTACAAATCCATGACAGCAACATGACAACGTGTGCTTGGTGCAAGTGAAGAGCAGAAATTAAGGCCTTCAACGTGACTACAATAGGCCCTTACTTGGTTCGATTCCCGCGGTTTGGGTAGATGACTGCCACTCAGTTAGCTGGCAGGAACCTGGTGTTTACAAGTGATGCTTTACCGCGCTATCGCTTCATGATCTAGCATCGGTATCTCCACACGGACTGGACTTGTCCAGCCAAACATGCCACGACTGGGCAGTTCCCATGTATGCTTTGCCCTGGCCCTAGCTTAAGTTCATTCATGGGCGACAAAACTCTGGAGATCACTGGAGACCGCACCATCCCACGTTCATGAACGCCATCAGCTTGGGTCAGCGGTTCATCCTCGCGGAGATACAGCTGCCCACGTAACGAGAATGAAAATGGAGGGAAAGCGGGACTGCACCCAGCATCGTGCGAGAGGGTCCCCTGGGCAAAATTCATCCCGATCTGGATGAAGCCCATCGGGCATCTGAAACCTCTCCAGCACAAAGGCGCCAAGGACAATTGCGCAAAGGACAAGCTAAGGGCCGGTGCCACATGGATTGCCCTGCTGTGACATTCGAGTAGACCTCGGCAAGTAAAAACCCGAATCGCACAGAGTGTTGACCAATATTGTTTCATGTGGGCTTCGTTTCTTCGCAAAATATGGCTTTCCTTTCGCGGGTCTTTCGTGCGGCTTTTGCGCGACACGGTGGTAGTAGTCGTGCGTCCTCCTCCTCCTCGTTCTAGCATTCGTCGTCCAGTAGTCGCCGTCGCCGCCGCCGCCGCCGGTGTCGGCGTCGTCGTCGACGTCGACGTCGACGTCGTCCTAGTCCTAGTCCTAGTCCAAGTCCAAGTCCAAGTCCTAGTGTCCCAGTCCCAGTCCTAGTCCTAGTCCTACCTAGTCCTAGTCGTAATCGTCGTAATAGTCCGAGTTGTAATTGTCGTCGTCGTCGTAGAAGAAGTAGTAGCAGTCAGCAGTAGCAGAGCAGTAGCAGTAGCAGTAGCGGTAGCGGTAGCGGTAGCGGTAGCGTAGCAGTAGCAGTAGCAGTAGCAGTAGCAGTAGCAGTAGCAGTAGCAGTAGCAGTAGCAGTAGCAGTAGCAGTAGCAGTAGCAGTAGCAGTAGCAGTAGCAGTAGCAGTAGCAGTAGCAGTAGCAGTAGCAGTAGCAGTAGCAGTAGTAGTAGTAGTAGTAGTAGTTAGTAGTAGTAGTAGTAGTAGTAGTAGTAGTGTAGTAGTAGTTAGGTAAGTAGTTAGTAGTAGCTAGTAGTAGTAGAGTAGTAGTAGTAGTAGTAGTAGTAGTAGTAGTAGTAGTAGTAGTAGTAGTAGTAGTAGTAGTAGTAGTAGTAGTAGTAGTAGTAGTAGTGGTGTAGTAGTAGTAGTAGTAGTAGTAGTAGTAGTAGTAGTAGTAGTAGTAGTAGTAGTAGTAGTAGTAGTAGTAGTAGTAGGCGCGAGGGAGTTCTAAATGGGGAGGGCCAGGTGGGGTGGGGTTTTGGTACTTGGGGTTGTGATGTTTCGGCAGCCGAATTTTGAAGTGAAACAAAATGTTTTTTGGCATGCGCTTTTTCTATCCCACACGCCAAACGGGTAATAACTTTCAGACATGTGGGTAGGGCACCCAGTGACTTAACACAGTTTTTCATAATTAAGACCACGGACCTTTGGATTAACCCTCGCCGTCTTCTTTCATTGCCAGTAGCTTGCTTGAGTTAAACGGGCCGTGAAGCCAAGATGAACAAAGGGGGTTAAGACAGAGATAAGCAACGACTGAGATACGCAAGACTGCCTCTTTGTGTCCCTTCACATCTCTGCGCGGAGTTCTCTGCGCGGAGTTCTCTGCGCGGAGTTCTCTGCGCGGAGTTCTCTGCGCGGAGTTCTCTGCGCGGAGTTCACTGCGCGGAGCTCTGCTGACCTTGAACATTGTCTCCGCAAATTACGACTCCCAACTTACGCTGGCCCGACCCGACGAAAAACCCTTCCCCACCGGAGCAAAGTCAAAGGGAAGATTTAGGGCTCGACCTTCCGGTAACCGGTCGATCCTCTGAGGGGTGCGTCACCAGTAACACTTAAGGCTTAAGGCTGAGTAAGGCATGCTGGGCCTTATCGGACTATCAACTTTGCATGCAGCTGCTTCTTGGGCCGGGGCAGGATCGAAACTGTCCGTTGTGCAGCAGGGGGTACACCTGCTCACATCCCGAATCCAAGCAGGATGTAAGCTCAGATTTTGCCAT